TTTTTTTTTTTTTTTTTGTCGGCTGCTGTCATAAAGTGCCTTGCCTTTGTACTCCTGCGCATGCGTGAAGTATAGCCGCTCATCATTTGCAGTTTACAATGTCGGTGTTGTTACTCGCAGCTAAGTTTAACCTGCTCCGATCACGTTTTGTTACAGCTGCTTTGTACGAGGCAACGTAAAGCTTACGAGCAGACTTCAGTTCCCTCTTGTGTTTTTATTGTGCTCCTCTGTTGACATGGTTCCTGTAGGCACATTTCCGCCAGTTCAAAGGTTCAACCTGGTAGTAAACTAATAGCTGCTACTGACCAAGAACTAGAGAAACTCCAGTCTTTCATTAAGGCTCGTGTGCTTCCCCTGTTCGTCTGTGTGTGGGCAGCAAATTATACTAATGGTTTCTTATTTGCAAGACGTACAGTTTAGCTGCCTACCAAGACCTGTGTCGTGCACTTCCGCTCGTAATAGGCGCCTTGTGACACGCATGAATGCGGGTATTTACTCGTGCACCATTGTTGTGTGCTGTCTTGGTATGTAAATAAGGTTGTGGACGTGTGTCTTTGTCTCTGTCTGTCTACCTCCTCAGACTACCGCCTGTCTGCACGTTTCTCTTCCTGTCTGTTACCGTCTCTCTCTGTGTGTGTGTGTGTGTGTGTGTGTGTGTGTAAGAGTGTGCCCATGCAAAGCAGAGGAGCAGGTGTATGTTTTTCTATTCCCCTCTGTTGATCTTGTGACTACACAAGCAGAGAACCCCGCCAGACAAGCGAGGGTAGACCGAGGGAAGTGGCGAGCACACAGTCTGTTTCCCATTCAAATGTCGTCCTCTGTCTGTTTCGCACAACTTCATACACTCCCTGTCACCTCTGCTGTGTGTGTTGTTCACAGCCTGCCTTTAGAAGTGCTTTTTATTTTTCAGAGAGGAGAGAGATAGATATGCTTTACTTCCCTTTTCTGGTTGTTTAGGCGGTGTTACTGTATGTAACTTCTGTATGGGTTTAGTGAATCACCAGTAGAATTTAATAAGGATTAAATTCAATGTCGTGTATAATTTTAAATTGTGACATCGATATTTAAGTCCTAAATGTGCCCACAATGGCCTAAAACACCCAAGGGAGTTTTAGGCCTTCGTGGCATA